CTGCCGGATAACACCAATATTGGGCATACTCAAATAACAGGAAATTTTTTTATCGTCTGCCCAATATTGTATACTTAATCTGATTGGTTCAGATTGGGCTTTGTATGGCCGAGTAGATATGAGTGTCGCTAAAAGAAAACCCGAAATTTAAATATAAGTCATTTAAATTTTCGGGTTTTCTTTTAGCGACACTCATATATAATAAATATAATCTAGCCAATTATATTTATTTATAACCATGTGACCAGTGAGCCATTAGTATCTTAAATCCCGATAATATCGGATTTGAGGTGTACTGTATTACTACATTATTACTATCTTTGCCGGTATGCATGTCCGAATTAGCCCGACCGGAACATGACGGGAGTTGACTTTCCTAGTAAGGAATATCAGATATGTATTACGTACGTACGTAGAAAATTTGATATATTTTTGTTTTTTTGCGTAACGGTAATGAATTAATTTTCCATGTGAACCCTATAAAAAGAAATTGTGTATAAACTATTTTTTTTTTTTCTGTGGAACAAGGTGGATGCGTTATCTTGTACGTACTAAATAAAATTGATCTTAATGTAATACGTATAAAGTTGTTCAAATAAAAAATTTTACATAATAAATTATCGTAAAAGTACATATTTGATTTGAATATGTAAGTACGTACGTATTAGCTTATCGATACGGCAGATTTTTGGAATTTGTCCTTTTTTTCATAATATTATTAATAATTAAGTTTAGGGGATGCCATATTGTAAGGAGAATAGTCAATCATACAAACCTTCCATTAAAATACCATGTAGTGATAATTAATTGTATAAAAAATGAAACGTAGCAAATATTTGGTAGAATGAATTTTAGGATTTATCGTTATACAATTCAATTTTTTTTTTTTTTTTTTTTAAAAAAAAAAAAAAAAAAAACAAAACAAAACAAAAAACAAATTTGGACTTAAAAATAAATCAGCCGCTTACCACCAGCCACTACACCACGTTCTCTCATAACTTTATCACCATCATTATGGTAGAATTAACAATAAGTAAATCGATACATACGTACGTACATAGCACAAATGGTCAATGATCAATGAAAAGGTAGAACAAACTATTTCATTTGACTATAACGATGATAATAATAATAATACGTACGTATAAAATTAATTAATATATACTTAGAATAGACCAAGGTTTAAAGCACAATTGATAACCCTTTTATACATAACAAAGAATCGATCACCTACGTGCTCTTGATCATATTTACAATAGATAATAGATTTACTATTATATTCTATCATTTCCACGCAATTTATTTTTATTTTTTTCCTTTAAACAATTTATAATTCTCTTAAATAATATTCTACCTAACTAATGAGTTTCCGCATTATCTTTTTTAAGTGCAACATTGCGTAAGTATGAGTACGTGACTTAGATTTATAATTTATCTAAATTCGGAATAAACAAAACTGTTAATAAATTTCCATGTATAGGTATTTTTTTCCCGGGACTAGTGACACCAATATGATTACGTACTATGAATCTAGATAGTTTCAATTATGCATTTGTTCCGATTATAGTTATTTTTCCTTGATTAAGCTTAAATATTTTGTTCTATCATGAACATTTCGGTGTATGCATGTATATGAAAAAAAAAGTGTTATCTACAAACGGAGTAACAAGAATAAAATGGAAACCTGTTTATTGTGATCTTAAGAGGGAAATATGCTATTGCACATCTAATGCTTTTTTTTTTATTCCCACAAATTGATAATTCGATTATGTATTGCAGCTTTTTCACTCCTCAAGTTCGAAGAATTCGAAGAATTCGAACTATATCTCTTTAAAATCCGAACCAACAATTAATCTAAATGTGTTTTTTTTTGTCCCTTTAATTTAACATTAGATTAGTAATTTGTTATATTAAAAATTAAATTAAATTACCATTAAATTCAATGAGAAATCACTGTGACTCTAGGAAATGTTTTCAAAATATTTTATATTTTCTTTCATGTCAATCAAAGTATGATATGATAATCTGTAACGTGAGAATATTTACTCAATAAAGGTTACATGAACACACATTCAGATTGGGTTAAATTAACGCGCAATTGTGAGAGATTGATCACATCAATGACATTACTGCAATATATCGATATGCACACTTCTTTTCGTATAAAAAGGACTCCAATTTGCTCTACCCTATATTTTGTTTTTTAAGTCCTTTGTTGACTTTTAAAAAGATTTATATATAAAAAGACAATACTCGATAATGTCCCTTCAACATTCTGTTAATGATTTCCTGTCTGTCCCAAGGAATTTCAGAAATGTACAAGGTTTATAATAATTTCATACGTATTAATATGTTTTGCCAATGTTTACAATTGTTGATTGAATTTTTAAAACAGATCAACGAGGAAATACCTTTGGATTCAGTCCATTCGACACCGATCAGTTAAGACAGGCCCAAATTTTAAGTGACAACTATTTTCGTATATCTAGAGAGAATGCCTCTAGTGATCCAATAGCAAAAGTAATGGAGCAAGCACAACAAGACGCTCAACAATATGATCCAGAATTGGTTCGTTACGCTCTTATGGTTTGGGTCGTCCATGATCCTGAGGCTCGTAGAAGAAACCTTAAAATTCCTCCATTAGGTCAACGTGCTCCTCATATTTCTGTACCTAAATTAGCAAATGCCGTTTCTGGTGCTTCTGGTACTTCTGGTGCTGCTCCAAAACCCACAACAACAGATCCTCCATTGACCAATCTAGATTGGTGGAGAGAAGATCCACAATTAAGCGAACATCATGAACATTGCCATATTGTGTTCCCTTCTTTCCCCGTTAATGGTGTAAGCAAGGATCGTGAAGGTGAAAATTTTGCTTTTATGCACAGACAAATGTTGGCTAGGTAAATACTATATTATCATTATTATCTTATCATTAATTCCAGATCTATTAATTAATCATCATAAAATTTATCTTTTTTAATAGATACGTTGCTGTCGGTCTTCAACCGGTTAAACCATTATCCGACTTTTCTGAACGTATCCCTGAAGCATATAATCCCGATGATGATTTAGTATTTGATGCTGATGGTAACCCGAGCACACCTAATGCACCGTTCACTCCTCGTTCCGCTGGAAAACAACTTACTGATTTGGGTATTTAGCATCTATTATATTTATTGTATTTGTGCATTTGTAATATATATTATAATATTATTTTTTATGATTAAATATAATAAATCTTTGATTTATCAATTTTATTTAGCCGGTAATGGTCCAAAGGTTTCCACTTTGTTGGATTATAGACAAAAACTATACGATGGTATTGGTAAAACTTATGGTCAAGATGACAAATCTGCAAATAAATTTGGAAACGATCTTGAAATAACATTACACAATGCTGGACACGTTATGTTGTATGTTGGAATTTTAAATTTTGAGTTTTCGAAATTTACGAAATCATTTTTTAATTTGACTTGTATAATCCTTAGAGCATACATAATGACTCCAACAGCTGTAAATAGTAAGTACATAATTTAATGTATAGTAAATATTATTACACAAATTGTTTGTGATATTGAGATTTTAAAATTATTTATTTTAGATCCAAATACTCCACCTGGTGTCATGACTGATCCCCGAACCGCAGCTCGTGACCCCGTATTTTGGAGATGGCATCGTCATATTGATGACGTTTACACTAGATGGCAAATTCAACAAGCTCCCTACGATTTCTCCGATGCGCCACCTGTTATTATCAGAAGTACTGATATTATTTTGGCTTGGAAAGACAAATTACTTGGTGCAGATAAAAATGGAAGTGCTGATGGTTGGTTAAATTATGCTAAACAAACATTTGGTGGTGCTAATTTTGATGCTGATGTTTCGAGTAACCCGGTTGTCACCAATGAGCTCCAAACTGAGATGAGATCCAGAAAATTCGTTTGGCTTGAGGATAGTAATGACTCTCAAGTTATTAACTATTTATATCCACGTGAATATTGCTATTTCTTCCGAGTCCAGAACACTACAAATCAGGTATGATTTCTCATTTACATTTACATCAATACTTGTGTTTTTTTTGAAATAATTTTTAATTTATATATATTATATCAAAAGAACGTTGATATTACTATACGTGTTTTCCTTGCACCCGAAGAACTTGTTAACTCTCGAATTCACTGGATTGAACTTGACAAGATCAAACAAACATTAAAACCAAACGAAAAGGCTGTATTTTCTCAAGATTGTGATGAATCAGTGGTAATTCGAAAACCTGCACAAAAAACTCCTGAAGAAATGGACGTAACCGCTTTAACGTTCGCTGAACGACAAGAAACAAGTGGTTTAACTGAGGATAAATCATCCGAAACATTCTTTAGTGATTGTGGATGGCCATTCAACCTTTTGTTACCACGTGGTAACAAGCAAGGATTTAAATGTAAATTATTCGTTATGATTACAGCTGGTGTTAAAGATGCTGTGAAACAGAAACATCCAAATGTTGCACCTAGAAAATGCGGAAGTTTAAGTTTCTGCGGTAATTGGATTTTTTTTTTTTTAAAAAAAAAAAATATATATATATTTAATTTGAAATTTTCTTTTTTTTCTAATATCTTGATACACTTTTGTAGGTGCTCAACAATGGGATGAATTATATCCTGATGCTCGTAGAATGGGTAAGTCTTGCAAACTAATATAATCAACGTATACTTTTTTTTATAAAAATCTAGATTTTATTTATATTTATATATATGTGTATATTATAAACTATTTAGGTTATCCATTTGGGGAGGTTTGCATTTAGAGGGAACTAATCAAATTGCTGATAAACCATTCAAAAATGACTCTTTTGAGCAAACTTTCGCCGGCTTGAAAAATGCCGCAGTTCGTGATGTTACAATCAAATGGGTCGATAAATTCCCTGACGTTTAATATAAATTTGTAGCCTTTGAAAACAAAAAAAATCCGAAATTTTTATTTATTATATCATCATTGTAATCTTTTGTATATTTATCACATTTCTCATAATTTTATTAGCATGTATATATAATTGTGAATTGCATTTATTATGGCAAAATCTCGTAAATTGGCAAAATCTTAAATTTTTTATGAACCCTTTTTTTTCGGAAAGAATTTCGATTTTTTCGTATACTAAGATATCTTACGAATATTATGAAACTATTTTTCTTTTCATTTTAATCTTTCGTATACTTTCTAAGATATCTTGGGGGAAAAAAATTTTGTATATTAAGGAATCCTTTATGGATATAAGTTTATGTATATAGCTATAGCATAACATTAATGTATGTTTTATATGATTTTAATTTTTTAATGTATCTATAATAAACTCTTGTTAATTTTTTGTATACAGTTGCATACTCAAATTCTGGTCCAAATATATACTTGACCTCTATAAAATGACTCTAAATGCACTTTGTTAAAGTGTGGTCCCAAGTAGTGATCCGAATCGTTTAGTTGAAAATCAACTAGGTGACAACTTTCCAACTAATCAATTTAGAAAAATTTTAAAACAACTAATCGATTTAGCTCCCGAGATATTCCGTCTAGTCGGAATAATCCGTGTTGATTTCTTTAGTTTGATTGGATAATCGACAAATTTAGTCACATGATACGATTAGTTGTTGTAATTATAACGATAATTGGCAGCTAAACGATTGGCAAAATTTACCGACTAGGAACACCGGTGTACTTAGAGAGGTCTGACTGTAGTATAAACTAATTAGAAATTTTATATAAATTTACATAATGCTAATGTATTTTTATGAAATGGAGTCGTTAGAATCGTCTCATCGAGATGGTTAAAACGGACTGGTATATCAAAAGTTATTCACAACGTATATTCTTAATAATGCAGATATAGTCACAAAAATTAAACTGCTTCCATATCATAATATACTAAATTAATTTAGTAATGTTTTTATTAAAATTACAAAACTATCTTTATTAGAAACTAAAAATAACTGATAATGTTAATTAATAAACAACTAAATAACTAGCCGTTAGCAGTAGAAAAAAAAATTTATAATCGATTAATTTGTTGGTTGTGAACTAGTTGGCTTTTCAACTACGATTTGATCATACCACTACTAACAGGAACTTCTTATTTAAATACTTTTAATATTTAAATGAATTTCTAATCATGGCTTCTTTTCAGCCAAAATCAATACACTACAAAAAGATATTGCCAACAATTCATCACCATTCCAACCTTCAGCTTCTTTCATATTAGAAATTAGTTCATCAACAAGATCTTCTGCATTTGGATTTTTCTCCAGATAATTTGTATAAAAACTCAATGTCTTTAAAATAAAAATAAATACATGTATTTAATTAACTATATTTAAATTTATTTTTCTAAAAAAAAAAAAAAAACTTACCCTCAAATAATTTCCATATTGAGAAAGATTCCAATTAACTGCAAGATGCTGACTTTTATCATCATTATTTTCTTCATCATGTATTTCCCGTTGAACGTTTTGATATAATTCTTCAGGAAATGTAATATCTTTATATAAATTATTGACTATATAATTACCTTTCGCCAAATAGGGGGCCATAAGATTCATACGGAAGTCTCTTGATAATTTAGTTGCAATAGGCGCATTTTTAAAAATAGCATACTTATAAGCCCAAATGGCTAAGGTTCCATTTGGTTTCAACACACGATAAGATTCTTGAAAAAAATTTGTTTTTAAGTCAATCCAATGAAAAGCTTCAGCTACAGTTAATAAATCAATTGAAGAATCTTTAAAGTAAGATAAGTCTTCAGCCCTTCCAA